AAAAAGTTAAAGAAAGAAATTGCAGAAGACACTAGGAAATGGAAAGACCTCCCATGCTCCTGGATAGGCCGACTTAATATAGTAAAGATGGTGATACTTCCAAAACTAATATACAAATTCAATGCAATTCCTATTAAAATCCCAATGACGTACATCACTGAAATACAGAAAACAGTCCAAAAATTTATATGGAACAACAAAAGACCTAGAATAGCCAAAACAATTCTAGGGGATAAAGACAATATGGGAGGGCTATCCATGCCGAACTTCAAACTCTACTACAGAGCTATAATCACAAAGACAGCATGGTACTGGCACAAAAACAGACCCGAAGACCAATGGAACAGAATAGAAGATCCAGATATAAATCCACAGGCCTACAGCCAGCTGATATTCGACAAAGGAGCCAAAGACATACAATGGAAGAAACACAGCCTCTTCAACCGCTGGTGCTGGGAAAACTGGGCAGCCACATGCAGAAAACTAAAAGTGGACCCCAGCCCATCACCATGCACCAACATCAACTCAAAATGGATTAAAGACCTTAACATTAAACCTGAATCTCTGAAACTACTGCAGGACAGAGTAGGAGAGACACTTGAACTAATAGGCACAGGAAGGAACTTCCTGAACAGAGTCCCAGGGTCACAACAAGTTGGAGAGAGACTCGACAAATGGGACTACCTTAAAATAAAAAGCTTCTGCACAGCTAAATCTATCGCAACTAAGCTAGAAAGACAACCAACTAATTGGGAAAAAATATTTACCAGCAATATATCAGACAAGGGGTTAACATCCTGTATATACAGGGAACTCAAGAAACTAATCCCTCCCAAACCTAACAAACCAATTACTAAATGGGCAAGGGAACTAAAGAGGGACTTCTCAAATGAAGAAATAAAAATGGCAAAGAAACACATGAGGAAATGTTCATCATCCCTGGTGGTGAAGGAAATGCAAATAAAGACAACCCTGAGATACCACCTTACCCCAGTCAGAATGTCCCACATCCACAAATCAGCCAACGACAAATGCTGGAGGGGATGTGGAGAAAGAGGAACCCTATTACACTGCTGGTGGGAATGTACACTTATACAACCACTTTAGAAAGCAGTCTGGAGGGTCCTTAGAAAGCTAAAGATTGACCTCCCTTACGACCCAGTCATACCACTTCTAGGCATCTACCCTGAACAACAGGAACCAATATACAAGGACACGTGCACCTCCATGTTTATTGCAGCACTGTTCGCAATAGCTAGGATATGGAAACAACCTAGGTGCCCCACCACAGATGAATGGATCCAAAAATTGTGGTATCTATACACAATGGAATATTATGCAGCCATTAGAAATGACAAAATAATGGCATTTGCAGGGAAATGGATGGAGCTAGAAGGAATCATGTTGAGCGAGGTAAGCCAAGAACGAAGAGACAAACGGTACATGGTCTCCCTCATAAGTGGATGCTAAATCCAAAAGGTTAGGTGATACGACAAAACTAACAGGACTTAAGAAACAAAGAACTCCCGCTCATCTGGTTGAACCACTACTAAATATCCTCATGCTGCTGATCACAAATATGGTATATAACATGTGAACACTGTTATATATTACAGACTGTGGTAGACAATTTGCTCCAGGGAAGTTAGAATGAACTTGTGACTTTGAAATTATGTAATCACTTAATCACAATCAAAAAAAAAAAAAAAAGAACCTCGGGGAAGGGAGGGAGGGAGGGGATGGTAGGGGGAAAACAATGGAGGGGGTAACAATGTTCAAGAGGAAGTGTACTCATAACCTCACTCATGTAACTGTAACCCTCTGTATAGTAGCTTTACAATAAAAAAAAAAAAAAAAAAAAAAAAAAAAAGCTCAGGGACAGTGCCCAAGTCCTGAGTTTAAGCAATATGACCAACAGAAAATAGATAGATAGATAGATAGATCGGATAGGAACTGCTATTTTAAGTCTTTAACTTTCATTTCTTGCATGGGAAACTTGTTTCTGTTTCTCCCTACTTTACTCTGTTAAATTAAAATTTTCACCCTAAAAAAAAAAAAAAAATACATATGGAACAACAAAAGACCTAGAATAGCTAAAGCAATTCTAGGCAAAGAAAAAAAGCAATGGGGTAATATCACAATACCAGATTTCAAGTTCTACAATAGAGCCATAATAACAAAAACACCTTGGTATTGGCATAAAAATAGACCCAAATATCAATGGAACAGATTAGAAGACCCAGAAAGAATAGTGGGATTACCTTTACACACATCAGGTAATAAGTTCATTTCCTTTTGCCTAGTGGCATCTGTTCCCTCATTCTCTTCCCTTCTCTTGCTCATCTTCACCCACGAGTGGCATAGCTCACTTTCATCAATATCTCATGCAGCCAATGTGTTTCACTGCTGCACTTTTCACCTCTTTTCTCAGATTCTGTGTCCTCCCCCGGCCCTCCCACAGATGTGCATGTAAATACACAATAAGGTAAAGAATACAAAGTCATCAGAGACAAAAAAAAATTAAGAAAAAGGTCCTTTGTTGCCATATCTTTGAAGTTCGTTGCAGTATGTATATTATTTTAAAATATGGTGCTGTAACAGAGTTTGAAATCTGTTATTCAGGATAGAAGAAAGAAACCTAGAAATCTAGGAGGCTGTGGGTGTAGCCAATGGTAAATTATGGTTTAACATGAGTGAGGCCCTAGATTCAATGTCCAGTTGAGAAGCTAAGAGAGCAAAGGAATGAGAAAGAGAGAGGATAGAGAGAAAGAAGGAGAAAAAGAAGGCAGGAATGGAAGAAAAAAGTAGGAAAGGAAGGGAGGATAAAAGGAAGAAAAGAAAGGAGACATGATGGAAAGGAGTGAGGGAGGCATAGAAGGACGAAGGAAGGAAGGAAATGACAAGAGGAATAAACACGCAATATGGGCCTGAGTTCCAATTTTGGTGTATCCACTGACACAACGTAGGTGACAATAGAAAATTTACACTCTCTTCCTCAGTTTCCCAATCTGGAAATTGGACAATATCACAGGAATGAGTTGAGGAGAGTGATCCTGAGCGCCAAGAAGCTCATGAAGATCAGAATACTGGCCTTTCCCAGGGGATCATCTCATGAAGTTTTTTCTTTCTTTTAAATTTATTTGTTATTATACAGATGATGTCCAGAGGGGTTACAGTCATATAAGTCACATGAAGAGCATATTTCTTTTTGGACAATGTCACCCTGTCCCTTCCTCTCTTCCAGTTTTTCCCTCCTATCCCCACCCAAAAGTTGTATAGTTGATTGTCAACATAGTGTCTAGTGAGTATCACTGTTTCATTTGCTCTCCCTTTGCCCCAACATTTCTGTGCCTCCCTTACCCTACAAAAATCTACAAGTAAACACAATGCATAGTAAAAAGAAAAAATATACTGGGATATGAAAAATTATACTATCCTACATATACACTCTCTATATACTCTATAAGCCAAAGGAGGATATTTTAGGAGAGGATCACATAGGTGTAATAGCCATGTACATCTGACCACATAAAACAATATTTATCGGGCTGGGAAGGTGGCTTAGTGGTAGAGCGCTTGCCTTACATGCCTGAGGCCCTGGGTTTGATTCCTCAACACCACATAAGAAGAAAAAGCTGGGAGTGGTGCTGTGGCTCAAATGCTAGGGAGCTAGCCTTGAGCTAAAGAGCTGAGAGACAGAGCCCAGGCCCAGTGTTCAGGCCCCATGACTGCAAAATAATAATAATAATAATTTTCAAAAACTTTATTTATTGACATGAACTCCAAGAATTGGAAACAAGAATTTTTTTTCTCTTTCTTTCTGTTTTTGTTCTCATTTGTTTGGTTGGTTGATTCACCGCGTGTTGAGACTTGCTCCTCTGAGATGATGTCTAGCGTGAGCTGTGAATATGGCTTGGGCTCTGATTCTAGTTCTGGTCCTGACCATGTCTGGGATTTGGCTCTCACCTGTGAAAAGGGGATTAGGATGGGTGGTGGATGGTCCTACGTGTGCAGAGAATCATGGGGTCAGGAGGTAGAAAGAAAACCCTGGACCCTCACTGCTCCCTCACCTGAGTCTCCAAGTGACCCACAGGAGAACTGAGCCTGGGTGAATGACTCGGCTCTGCCAAGAGCTTCAGCACCTGTGAGAGCAAGTGCCTAATCCAGGGTGAGGACACAGAGCCAGGGCAGAGGCTCAACCTCACAGCCCCTCCCCCCAGGGCTGGCATTCAGCAGAGAACCTGAGCCCTCAGGAGTCTCCTCAGTGCTGCCAGTGAAGAAGACATCAGGAAATCAGGCCCTGCCCCTCACCTCCCTGGCCACAGTGGTCCTCATGGGACAGACCAGAGTGGCCAGGCACAGCTTGACTGCTCCCTGCTTCTCCATGCATTTCAGAACAGAGCCTGGCACACAGTAAGTCCTCAGGGCTGTGGCATGAAAAGAGACCTGGGCCACCAAGCAGAATGCTCTCTGGAAGCAGCGAGCCAATCTGACCTGTCTCATCTTTCTTCTTTGGACCAATTCCCTCCCTTGAGGGTTTTTTTTTTTTTTTTTTTGCCAGTTGTAGGGCCTGAGTGGCCTCGGCGCTGTTCTCTCAGCTCTTCAGCTCAAGGCTAGTGCTCTACCACTTGAGCCACAGTGCCACTTCTGGCCTTTTCTGCTTATGTGGTGCTGAGAAATCGAACCCAGGGCCTCATGCATGCAAGGCAAGTACGCTATCACTGAGCTACCTTCCTAGCTCATCTTTCTTCTTTGGATCCAAGGGACTTGGCTGTGCAGCAGGAAGACCAGGAGAGAGAGGTCCCCACAGGCCAGCTGTGGAACACTGCAGCAGGTCCTGTGCAGAGCTGTGCTTCACTGGCCCACAGACGGAAGGCCAGAGCATGAACACCACCACCCAGCACCACCCCTGCTTTTAGGCTGTGACTCACAGAACTGAGGGTGTCATTCTGCACATACTGTCACACTCTAGGAGACAAAAGAAGCCGCACTGTACTCACCACTCACAGACAGCTCAGTGCCTGGTCCAGACTTAAACTCCTTGTCCCCCTCAGTGGCTGTCTTCCGGAACTTCACACAGTAGTAGGTGCCCGCGTCTGCTGGGGTGACATTCCTGATGCGGATGGAAAAGTCCATGTTGTCTCTCTGTGTTAAATCTGAAACTGGTGTGACGCGTGGGTTGTGGGCTTCTTTGAAATGGAAGATTGACTCCTGTCTTGGTCCTTTCCCCCTGAACCACTGGATGGGCCCAACAGGGAGCAGGGTGGTCATAGTGCAGCGCAGCATGGCCGTCTCTCCAGCGGCCACAGACACCACCCTGTCAGGCTGGATCACCTGCAGCTCATCTGCAGCAGTTCCTGGAGGAAACACAGAAGTCATTCATCCTAATGGGATTCTGTGAAGTTCCTCAAAATTTAATCAACTCTGATTCTCACTGACTGAGTGTACAACATGAGCTTGTCACACTGCCTATGTGGCCAGGGTGAACGTTCACAGGAGCTTATAATACAAAGGAGAAACTGAGGCACAGAGAGGGCTATACACATGGGAGAGCTCAGCTTTGAGTCCCTGAGTCCTCTGTAGGACTCATGGTTTCTGTCCTCATGGTACGCTGTACTTCCTGTCCATGATAGTAGGAGGGTCCTGTGACTCCTGTGGGTCATGAAGAAATGAGCATGGGTGACAACCCAGAGAATAGGCTGAAAGCAGGCGACTCAGGGTCAGCTTCCTCCTCCCCAGAGCACCACAGTCTAGACTGACGGTGCTGGTCAGAACTCCCAATGCAATATCACGCCAAATGTGATGAAACACAGCTCCACAGACCCAAGATGCAGAAGGAACTCCATGCAGTTCAACTCAATCATCTGGGAATAGTAAATGTCTACAAGCAAGAGGATGAATTGGAGCCTTGCCTTGTATTTCATGCAACAATTAGTTGAAAATGAATCAAAATCCTAAATGTAACCTCTAAAATGAAAAAACGCCCCTAACTCTGAAAAAAGATAGCTTAAGTAAATGCAAAGTGCAAGTAAATTCTTTATCATATCAGATTTGGTAACTATTTCTTTCACATCAGAAAAAAGTGATAAACATTAATAAATTCATATGTTGAGCTTAAAAGCAGATGAGAGAATAGAAAAGGAGAAAATATTTGCCAGATATCTATATAAAGAATTCCTACAACTGAATGACAAAATAACTCACAATTCACTTCTAAAAGAACAAGCACAGGAGCATATGTTTCTCTATAGAGCAGTCAATGAACACATGGAAAGAGACTAGACAAATCTACTTGCTGGGACAGTTCATGACAATAAGAAGCCATTCCCATCTCTTAGAATCACTATTACCAAGACAAAAGTAAAATGAAATAAACAAAAAACAAAAACCAGAAAATGATAAGTGTTGGCAAGGGTGTGGAGCAACTGGAACTGTAGGCTTTCCTGGTGGGAAAGTAAAGAAAGCAGTGTGGCTGCTGTGGGAAACAGTGGCAATGCTGAGAAACTCTAAACATAGAATTACCCAGTGGTGCAATAATTCTACTCTTAGGCAGATACTCCACAAGTTCAAAGCAGGGATCTGAACTAATCTTCATAAATAAATTATATTCATAATTGGGAAAAGACAAATAGCTCATATATTTTCTACAAGTGAATAGATGGGCATTTGTAATAGAATATTACTCAGGCCTAACAGAAAATTAATTCTAATACGTCCTTCATGGATGAACCTTGAAAATATCATGGTAAGTAAAATAAATGAGACAAAAAGACAATATAGGTCTGGTTACATCTCACACAGACAAATTCACAAAGACAGAATGTGCAGAGGCTAGCAGGCCTGAGGGGAAGTTGATACATATGTGTGCAGAACTCAGTTTGGATATTGTTTCAGAAATGGGAAATGGGTGTGATGGTTATACAATACAGTGAGTGTGGTCGATGTCATCGACTTGAAATCCTGACGTGGCAACTTTTGTGTTCAGTGTAGTTTTAAAACATTTCATATCAGTACACGTTAATTGTACAAAAGGGGCTTCATCATAACATGCCCATACATGCGTACAACACACCCAACCAAACCCTGGAGTTTCTTCCACCTCTATGAGTGTTCCTCTTCAACATGTGCCCAAATAATCTGAGCTCTTTCTCCTTGCTCTACTTGCTGTTGTCTTTGCAAAACCACCCTTTGCGTGTGGATACAGGCACTGGCTGTCTCCTCCTCCTTCTGCATGCTCTGGTGACTTCTGTCTGTCCTGTGATGGTCTGTGTTCAACCAAGCGCTAGCATAATCCTTTAAAAACTCATCTCAAGCTGAGCAGAGGTGACTCAGACCTGTAATTCTAGCTACTCAGTAGGCTGAGATCTGAGGATCATAGAACAAAGGCAGCTCAGGAAGGAAAGCCCATGATACCTTATTTCGAATGAGCTATAACAAATGCTTGAGACAAATCAACCTATCAAGTAAAAAAGAGTTGTCATGGCTTATGGCTTCAGAGTTCAAGATAGTTTCCATTCAGGATCAGTTGGCAGTTGGCCCTGTTGCTTTGGGGCATATGGAGTGTCAGCACCTCATAGTCAGGAGGATGTGAGGGTCCAAAGCCTGATCATCTCAAGAATGGAGCTTGAGACAGAAAAGGAAGAGACCAGGGTCCCTCCTCCTCCTTCAAGGATGTGTCCCCACCATGATCTGAGGACTCCCACTGGCTTCAACTCTTAAAGCTCCACAGCCTTCCAGTGGGGCCACTCAGGAGACCAAGCCTTTAACACATGGCAGATGAGAGGAGATTTCAGATCCAAATTACAGCAGAGGTAGATACTGCAGGCAGGCTCCTCTGTATCTTTTACCTCCTCCTTCCTACTCACCTCTACCTTCGTAGATGAACACTAGTACACACACGCACACACACACACACACACACACACACAGAGTCACAAATATCTGTAATAGGTGATCTGCTATGCTAGTATGTAAGGTTTTATCAAGAGTTCAATGAAACTATATTTTGAAAGTCAAAATATTTGACATGTAGAAAAAACATCCATCACTGTGACCCATGAGAACAGCACTGGGTTTTAACTTTGGTCCTTTCTGAGTTGTGCGACTGGCAGTGATCACACTGGGGTTTGCCTCCCTGCCTTCCTCCCTGCGATTCACCTCCACTGAAAGGCAGAGTGATATAACATGGCTAGAAGAAAGAAATCTGGAATCTAGGAGGGTGTGGGTGTAGCTAGTGGTAGGGTATGAGTTAACATGAGTGAGGCCCTTTGTTCAATGTCCAGCTGAGACGCTGAGGGGGTGGGGGAGGAAGGGAGAGAAATAAGATCAAAAAGAGGGAAGACGAGAAGAAAAAAGATGGAAGATAAAAAGAAAGGAGTGATGATAAAATTGTGGGAAGAAGGGATGGCAGGATGAAGGAAAGAAGGAAGGAAAGATAATGGAAGGAAATGACAAGAGAAATAAACCTGTGTACTATGGGCATGAATTTTAATCTCAGTGTCTCCACTGACCAAGGTAGTTGGCAAAGGACAATTTCCACTCTCTGCCTCAGTTTCCCCATGTGGAAATAATAAGAGTAGCTATCACAGGAATGAGTTGAAAACAGTGATCCTTAGCCTCAGGAAGCTCATGAAGATCACAGTGCTGGCCCTTTCTCAGTGACCATCTCATGAAGCTTTTTCTTTCCTTTTTTTAAAAATAAGTTTTTTTTGTGAAAATACTGTACAGAGGGGTTACAGTTACATGCAGAAGGCAATGACTGCATTTCCTATCAAGCACTGTTGCATCCTTCTTTGTTTTTCCCCTACCATCCCTTTTTTTCTTTCTTTTAAATTTATTTATTGTTATTATAAAGATGATGTCCAGAGGGGTTACAGTTATATAAGTCACATGAAGAGCATATTTCTTTTTGGACAATGTCACCCTGTCCCTTCCTCTCTTCCAGTTTTCCATCCTATCCCCACCCAAAAGTTGTATAGTTGATTGTCAACATAGTGTCTAGTGAGTATCACTGTTTCATTTGCTCTCCCTTTGCCCCACCATTTCTGTGCCTCCCTTACCTTCCAGAAATCTACAAGTAAACACAATGCATAGTAAAAAGAAAAAATATACTGGGATATGAAAAATTATACTATCCTACATGTACACTCTCTATATACTCTATAAGCCAAAGAAGGATATTTTAGGAGAGGATCACTTAGGTGCAATAGCCATGTACATCTGACCACATAAAACAATATTTATCGGGCTGGGAAGGTGGCTCAGTGGTAGAGCGCTTGCCTTACATGCCTGAGGCCCTGGGTTTGATTCCTCAGCACCACATAAGAAAAAAGAAAAAAGGCGGAAGTGGCGCTGTGGCTCAAGTGGTAGAGTGCAAGCCTTGAGCTGAAGAGCTGAGGGACACCGCCCAGCCCAGAGTTCAGACCCACAACTGCAAAATAAAAATAATAATCATTTTTAAAAGCATTATTTATTGACATGAACTCCAAGAATTAGAAACAAGAATTTTTTTCTCTTTCTTGCTGTTTTTGTTTTCAATTGTCTGGTTGGTTGATTCGCCGTGTGTTGAGACTTGCTCCTCTGAGATGCTGTCTAGCATGGGCTGTGAATATGACTGGGACTCTGATTCTAGTTCTGGTCCCGGCCATGTCTGGGATTTGGCTCTCACCTGTGAAAAGGATGGGTGGTGGATGGTCCTACGTGTGCAGAGAATCATGGGGTCAGGAGGTAGAAAGAAAATCCTGAACCAGGCAAGAAACCCTCACTACTCCCTCACCTGAGTCTCCATGTGACCCACAGGAGAACTGAGCCTGGGTGAATGACTCGGCTCTGCCAAGAGCTTCAGCACCTGTGGGAGCAAGTGCCTAATCCAGGGTGAGGACACAGAGCCAGGGCAGAGGCTCAACCTCACAGCCCCTCCCCCCAGGGCTGGCATTCAGCAGAGAAGCTGAGCCTCAGGAGTCTCCTCAGTGCTGCCAGTGAAGAAGACCTCAGGAAATCAGGCCCTGCCCCTCACCTCCCTGGCCACAGTGGTCCTCATGGGACAGACCAGAGTGGCCAGGCACAGCTTGACTGCTCCCTGCTTCTCCATGCATTTCAGAACAGAGCCTGGCACACAGTAAGTCCTCAGGGCTGTGGCATGAAAAGAGACCTGGGCCACCAAGCAGTATGCTCTCTGGAAGCAGCGAGCCAATCTGACCTGTCTCATCTTTCTTCTTTGGATCCAAGGGACTTGGCTGTGCAGAAGGAAGAGCAGAGAAGAGAGAGGTCCCTACTGGCCAGCTGTGAAACACTGCAGCAGGTCCTGTGCAGAGCTGTGCTTCACTGGCCCACAGACGGAAGGCCAGAGCATGAACACCACCACCCAGCACCACCCCTGCTTCTAGGCTGCTGCTCACAGAACTGAGGGTGTCATTCTGCACATACTGTCACACTCTAGGAGACAAAAGAAGCCACACGGTACTCACCACTCACAGACAGCTCAGTGCCTGGTCCAGACTTAAACTCCTTGGACCCCTCAGTGGCTGTCTTCTGGAACTTCACACAGTAGTAGGTGCCCGCGTCTGCTGGGGTGACATTCCTGATGCGGATGGAAAAGTCCATGTTGTCTCTCTGTGTGGGATCTGAAACTGGTGTGACGCGTGGGTTGTGGGGTTCTTTGAAATGGAAGATCGACTCCTGTCTTGGTCCTTTCCCCCTGAACCACTGGATGGACCCCACAGGGCGTAGGGAGGTCATAGTGCAGCGCAGCATGGCCGTCTCTCCAGCGGCGACAGACACCACCCTGTCAGGCTGGATCACCTGCAACTCTGCTCCTGGAGGACACACAGAAGTCATTCATCCTAATGGGACTCTGTGAAGTTCCTCAAAATTTAATCAACTCTGATTCTCACTGACTGAGTGTACAACATGAGCTTGTCACACTGCCTATGTGGCCAGGGTGAACGTTCACAGGAGCTTATAATACAAAGGAGAAACTGAGGCACAGAGAGGGCTATACACATGGGAGAGCTCAGCTTTGAGTCCCTGAGTCCTCAGTAGGACTCATGGTTTCTGTCCTCATGGTACGCTGTACTTCCTGTCCATGATAGTAGGAGGGTCCTGTGACTCCTGTGGGCCATGAAGAAATGAGCATGGGTGACAGCCCAGAGAATAGGCTGAGAGCAGGCGACTCAGGGTCAGCTTCCTCCTCCCCAGAGCACCACAGTCTAGACTGACGGTGCTGGTCAGAACTCCCAATGCAATATCACGCCAAATGTGATCAAACATAACCCCACAGACCCAACATGCGGAACGAACTCCATGCAGTTCAACTCAATCATCTGGGAAAAGTAAATGTCTACAAGCAAGAGGATGAATTGGAGCCTTGTCTTGTATTTCATGCAACAATTAGTTGAAAATGAATCAAAATCCTAAATGTAACCTCTAAAATGAAAAAACGCCCCTAACTCTGAAAAAAGGTAACTTAAGTAAATGCAAAGTGCAAGTAAATTCTTTATCATATCAGATTTGGTAACTATTTCTTTCACATCAGAAAAAAGTGATAAACATTAATAAATTCATATGTTGAGCTTAAAAGCAGATGAGAGAATTGAAAAGGAGAAAATATTTGCCAAATATCTATATAAAGAATTCCTACAACTGAATGACAAAACTCACAATTCACTTCTAAAAGAACAAGCACAGGAGCATATGTTTCTCTATAGAGCAGTCAATGAACACATGGAAAGAGACTAGACAAATCTACTTGCTGGGACAGTTCATGACAATAAGAAGCCATTCCCATCTCTTAGAATCACTATTACCAAGACAAATGTAAAATGAAATAAACAAAAAAGAAAAACCAGAAAATGATAAGTGTTGGCAAGGGTGTGGAGCAACTGGAACTGTAGGCTTTCCTGGTGGGAAAGTAAAGAAAGCAGTGTGGCTGCTGTGGGAAACAGTGGCAATGCTGAGAAACTCTAAACATAGAATTACCCAGTGGTGCAATAATTCTGCTCTTAGGCAGATACTCCACAAGTTCAAAGCAGGGATCTGAACTAATCTTCATAAATAAATTATATTCATAATTGGGAAAAGACAAATAGCTCATATATTTTCTACAAGTGAATAGATGGGCATTTGTAATAGAATATTACTTAGGCCTAACAGAAAATTAATTCTAATACGTCCTTCATGGATGAACCTTGAAAATATCATGGTAAGTAAAATAAATGAGACAAAAAGACAATATAGGTCTGGTTACATCTCACACAACAAATTCACAAAGACAGAATGTGCAGAGGCTAGCAGGCCTGAGGGGAAGTTGATACATACGTGTGCAGAACTCAGTTTGGATATTGTTTCAGAAATGGGAAATGGGTGTGATGGTTATACAATACAGTGAGTGTGGTCGATGTCATCGACTTGAAATCCTGACATGGCAACTTTTGTGTTCAGTGTAGTTTTAAAACATTTCATATCAGTACACGTTAATTGTACAGAAGGGGCTTCATCATAACATGCCCATACATGCATACAACACACCCAACCAAACCCTGGTGTTTCTTCCACCTCTACGAGTGTTCCTCTTTGACATGTACCCAAATAATCTGAGCTCTTTCTCCTTGCTCTACTTGCTGTTGTCTTTGCAAAACCACCCTTTGTGTGTGGATACAGGCACTGGCTGTCTTCTCCTCCTTCTGCATGCTCTGGTGACTTCTGTCTGTCCTGTGATGGTCTGTGTTCAACCAAGCGCTAGCATAATCCTTTAAAAACTCATCTCAAGCTGAGCAGAGGTGACTCAGACCTGTAATTCTAGCTACTCAGTAGGCTGAGATCTGAGGATCATAGAACAAAGGCAGCTCAGGAAGGAAAGCCCATGATACCTTATTTCAAATGAGCTATAACAAATGCTTGAGACAAATCAACCTATCAAGTAAAAAAGAGTTGTCATGGCTTATGGCTTCAGAGTTCAAGATAGTTTCCATTCAGGATCAGTTGGCAGTTGGCCCTGTTGCTTTGGGGCATATGGAGTGTCAGCACCTCATAGTCAGGAGGATGTGAGGGTCCAAAGCCTGATCATCTCAAGAATGGAGCTTGAGACAGAAAAGGAAGAGACCAGGGTCCCTCCTCCTCCTTCAAGGATGTGTCCCCACCATGATCTGAGGACTCCCACTGGCTTCAACTCTTAAAGCTCCACAGCCTTCCAGTGGGGCCACTCAGGAGACCAAGCCTTTAACACATGGCAGATGAGAGGAGATTTCAGATCCAAATTACAGCAGAGGTAGATACTGCAGGCAGGCTCCTCTGTATCTTTTACCTCCTCCTTCCTACTCACCTCTACCTTCGTAGATGAACACTAGTACACACACGCACACACACACACACACACACACACACAGAGTCACAAATATCTGTAATAGGTGATCTGCTATGCTAGTATGTAAGGTTTTATCAAGAGTTCAATGAAACTATATTTTGAAAGTAAAAATATTTGACATGTAGAAAAAAACATCCATCACTGTGACCCATGAGAACAGCACTGGGTTTTAACTCTGGTCCTTTCTGAGTTGTGCGACTGGCAGTGATCACACTGGGGTTTGCCTCCCTGCCTTCCTCCCTGCGATTCACCTCCACTGAAAGGCAGAGTGATATAACATGGCTAGAAGAAAGAAATCTGGAATCTAGGAGGGTGTGGGTGTAGCTAGTGGTAGGGTATGAGTTAACATGAGTGAGGCCCTTTGTTCAATGTCCAGCTGAGACGCTGAGGGGGTGGGGGAGGAAGGGAGAGAAATAAGATCAAAAAGAGGGAAGAAGAGAAGAAAAAAGATGGAAGATAAAAAGAAAGGAGTGATGATAAAATTGTGGGAAGAAGGGATGGCAGGATGAAGGAAAGAAGGAAGGAAAGATAATGGAAGGAAATGACAAGAGAAATAAACCTGTGTAATATGGGCCTGAATTTTAATCTCAGTGTCTCCACTGACCAAGGCAGTTGGCAAAGGACAATTTTCACTCTCTGCCTCAGTTTCCCCATCTGGAAATAATAAGAATAGCTATCACAGGAATGAGTTGAGGAGAGTGAACCTGAGCCCCAGGAAGCTCATGAAGATCACAGTGCTGGCCCTTTCTCAGTGATCATCTCATGAAGTTTTTGTTTCTTTTTTTAAAAGATAAGTTTTTGGGGGGGGACCAAGATGGCGACGGGGCAGTAGGGAAACGCCACAGCTCTCTCCAACCAAAAAGAGAGTTCGAGTTCCAACGCTTAATCTCCCCAAGAGACCGACAACAACAAAAAGACGAACACTCAGAGAAAAACCAGAGGTGGAAAATAACAAAAAAAGAAAGAGAGGAAAAGAAGAAATTCAGAACAGAGAAGAGCGAAGACCCCTCCCCCAACCTTTACTGACCGCGCGGCAGTGCGCCAAGCCGCCGGCCAGCCGGCCCGGCGGGGGCTGCCGGAGCCACAGAGACACAGGGGGCTGCTTGCAGGTCACCAGGTACCGGATTGCAGAACATCGGATCGCCAGGAACAGAGAAACCTACCAGCCGGGAGTCTCCAGGAGGATCCCACCCCACCCATCACTCTCCACCGGAGCGGAGAGGCTCCATCCCGCCAAAGCCGCCCGGCACCAGCAGCGCGACAAAGGGACCTGTCGCCCAATCGCGATCACAACTACCTGGCGGGGGGGGGCCGCCCAACCCAGCCCGCAACCACCCCAACTGAACTCGGACTGCAACAACAACTGACGGACTGCAACAACAACTGACGACCTACAGGGTGAGTACCCATCAGGGGACAGGGAATCCATCAAGGGAGACCAGAGCTGGAGGGAATCCCCAGACCCTGACCTAGACTCCCTACCCCAACATCCGGACCACAGGACCCACTAAAACTGGGAACTCTTCGAGAGCTCCACCAGCCGGTGGAGCACACTCTGCTGGCCAGGCCAGAGCAAGAGCGGCCCTGGAAGGGAGCTTAAATGCCCAAGCCAGGAACAGCGCCCCTGGGTCAAGACTACCAACAGTAGAAGAAATTTGAACTGTGTCCTCCTAGCACAGGCCTAAGGAGCCTGCTCCAGGCTGGGGCCGGAACCAGACCAGGGGACCGGCGCCTGAACAAAGCAAAAAGGGTCAGAAGTGGGGCTGTGGCTCAAATGGTAGGGTGCCAGCCTTGAGCTGAAGAGCTGAGGGACAGCACCCAAACCTAGAGTTCAAGCCCACAACCAGCCCAAAACAAACAAACAAAAACATATCAGGAGCCCATAGCAGACTCCAGTATTTGGGAGAGTGCATCCAGAGCATCTGATCTTCCCAAGAGCACCCGCAGGAGCAAACACAAGCAGTCTAGGCTGCTCAACCCTTCCAAAGGCTTCCCGGGAATTGCTACAGCAGAGAGCTGAGAATCCTAAGTAAGTCAGAATAGCAGCTGGAAATAGGCTCCCAACAGAATCCAGATCAGGCACAGACTCTCTCTACCAATACAGAATCAGCAACCTAGCAAAGACAGACACACCAAAACAAGATTGAAGAGCAGTCTCCTGAACCCCCAAGCGAAAATCACAGAGAAAAATCACAAGGTTTACCACTACCCAGGACAGCAAGCTCACCTCAAAAGCCAGCAGCCACGCAGGGGAGAGCCCCAGTGGGAGCAAAGCAGGAATGGAAGACAAAAACTACATCCAAGGGTTGCTGGAGGCAATGACTCAAGAAATAAAGCGAGAAATGGATCAGAAATTGAAAGAGCACAAGGATGAACTATCAAAAGATATACAGGATATCAAACAAAAATTGGATGCAAAAATAGAAGCTGCACAAACCTCAGTAAGAAGTGAGA